ATTTGAATTTATTTTGACGAACTTCAGTGTTAGCGTCGGACCTGAATGTCATAAGGCGTGTTAAGTATCTATTGGATTCGAACACACTGTTTGACACTTCTTTGGGTATGCGTTTGTATGACATTGAATAGCGTCGGACCTGAATGTCTTAAGTCGTGTTAAGTATCTATTGGATTCGAACACACTGTTTGACACTTCTTTGGGTATGCGTTTGTATGACATTGAATAGCGTCGGACCTGAATGTCTTAAGTCGTGTTAAGTATCTATTGGATTCGAACACACTGTTTGACACTTCTTTGGGTATGCGTTTGTATGACATTGAATCTATTTTTCTTAAAGATTAAACTAGTTCCATACTAACTAATTATATTTACAATGTGCACTAACAACAGTAATTTACAAATAATATAACCCCGTTTTAATCGGTTAGTATCAAGAACAATACAATATGATCAAACGCCTGGAATTGTTAGAAATAAACGTTATTTGTAACATAGGCCTACCACAGTGAACAAGTTGTAATAGATGAAGTAAAAACGAAGACACCAATCGATGAGCCAGCGAGTGTTTTCAATATTTAAAACGGATAATATAAGGTACGGTAATTCATCTGTTCTTGTCGATACTCTTCATTAAACCGGTCTATTTAACAGTTAAATTTGAGGAAAAATAAGCTCAGCTCAGAGGTAAGCTTGACGGCTTATAATGATTCAATTCAGGATTCGATCCCTATGGTGGGCATAGCAAGGGTATCCTGAACTTTGTACTTAATCAACAAACAAATAGATCTTGACTATATTCACCTGACAAACAAAACATTATTATTACATAAATATAAAATAAAGGAATAACGGGTCTATATAATTCGTACGATTGGATTATTTGTCTTATCAAGTTGCCCCCAGTGGCACAGCGGTATGTCTGCGGACTTACAACGCTACAAACCGGGTTTCGATATCCGTGGTGGGCAGAGCACATAGCATACCTACAAACAAACAAACTTATCAAGTTAGAGATTTCAACTTCTTTTAGCCTATGCCTTAGTAATCTCCACCAAACCTTCTGTTTCTGTGGTGTAACCTTCCTGAACACACACACACACACACACACATATATATATATATATACCGTGACCATCATTTCCAACCTTCACCATAGTACCTTGTAGGCAGTCATTGTTGCCCTTCCACCAAACCTTCTGTCTCTGTGGTGTAACTTTCTTGAACATATACATACGTGACCATCTTTTCCAACCTTCACCATAGTACGTTGTAGGCAGTCATTGTTGCCCTTCTACCAAACCTTCTGTCTCTGTGGTGTAACTTTCTTGAATATATACATACCGTGACCATCTTTTCCAACCTTCACCATAGTACGTTGTAGGCAGTCATTGTTGCTCTTCCACCAAACCTTCTGTCTCTGTGGTGTGACTTTCTTGAACATATACATACCGTGACCATCTTTTCCAACCTTCACCATAGTATGTTGTAGGCAGTCATTGTTGCTCTTCCACCAAACCTTCTGTCTCTGTGGTGTAACTTTCTTGAACATATACATACCGTGACCAACTTTTCTAACCTTCATCATAGTACGTTGTAGGCAGTCATTGTTGCTCTTCCACCACACCTTCTGTCTCTGTGGTATAACTTTCTTTACCACAATACCCATCGTGATCATAATTTTCGGCATGCCGCTTTTGTTGGTGTTGTTAATTTTGCTTTTTGGAGCAGTAATGTTCTTTAACTGTAAACGCCGTAAGTATATTTAATTTACCAAAAAAGAATAACCATCTAAATAAAACCAAGAATTTATTTCCACCACTTTAATGATACTTCCCTACCAGGGGGAGTATGTATCAAACAAATTATGTCTAGTCACATTCCTATCATTAATATGACCATAAGCTAATTAAGGTATTCAAACATCTATTAATTAATTAATTTTTCAAAATTTTTGTATGCACGTGCTTTTCAATGCCTATATATGGAATATACGCCCCCGCCTACATATCCTGTGAGAACAGTGCGTCTTGGGGTCGTCTCTGAATATTGAACAAATACAAGTTTTGTTTGTTTGTTTGTAATTAACTACAAATCTACACAATGGGCTATCTGGGCTCTGCCCACCACGGGTATCGAAACCCGGATTCTCGCGTTGTAAGTCCGCAGACATACCGCTGTGCCACTGGGGAGGGCACAAATATAAGTCTAACAACATCGTCTCCAATGTACATTTGTACAGACCATTCTGCCTAACAGTGTTTAATTTGAAAAAAAAATGAGCTTAGTGTTTAACTTAAACTATAGGTGAAACGTCAGTTAACTATATGATAGTGTGGTATAACAGTTTTGGCAATATTTATTTAATTCCATTTTAATATGCAGCCAATTAAATAAACTTACGATAATCAATAATAAAGTTAAATTTAAAGGGATTGCTGCCGATCGGTTGCCTCCTTGCGGTAAGTGTTTCGGAATTATGGACAGCGCCTCACTACCCGTTTTGCGCATCAAAAAACGTGCTGCGACAGGATTCCATGATTGGATGGAGGAGAGCTAAGTTAAATCACCGGTTTTAATCCTAACTAGTTGTATGCTCAACTCGAAAATGTTTAAAATCGCAGCAAACGACACTAAATATTTAAACATTTTCAACTACTGCTCGTAAAAGAACGTAAGCGAGATTTTAAAAGTATAATCAATGCGTTTAATGTTTTATTTATGTTTTAATTGCTTCATGTGCGTTTCTGTTAGAATCAACATTTATTAGGTTTTCATACAAATATCTTTCGCGTACACCTTAACTTACTAATAGTGAAAACCAGTTCTTCATCTTTATTCGCAATTAAGTAATTTTTTTTATGCGTCTAGGCCTTTTTTTTTTCTTCTGACAGCAAAGATTTCTGACAATCGAATTTTGTAATTTGAGGCACAAACCCAGGGAAGACAGTATAGGAAGAAAACCTTCATCCGTATATGTCTAACGGAAAAACTGAATGTCATATTTTAAAAATACAGTGGCGGCTTGTTTTCTTAGAAAATAGTTCTCCAAATTTAATATCTGTCACTTTGAACGCAAATGTTTGAAAGCGTGTTGTTTTGTTCTCACAAAAAAAAAAAAGGTTTTCAAATCGTATATAAGTAAAGAGTAACGTATGTGCGTGAGTGAGAAACATTTTAAATATCATTAAATTGTGCAAAAATGAAATTAAGAGCGGGAAAGTATGGACGACGTCACCATTACTATGCATTGCAAAGAGAAAGTTATTTATAGAATGGATCCCTCGTCTCAGACAGCAGTGTTTATACGTGTTAAGGTTTTGTATGTGAATTTCTTCATTTAGATACAGACTCTTAGAGTACCGTACCGTTACGCTGTTGAGTTTTAATACTTGGCCCCGATAGATCTCTCACTTTGATAAGTCGATCTATATCTAGAGTCTCTTACTTTGATAAGTCGATCAGTTCGTCATTTTTTGAACAGATTATTCGGCTCAAAGTGTCTTATGTACGAAAGGTATTTGATGGGATTTGTTTGTTTGTAATTAAGCACAAATCTACACAATGGGCTATCTGTGCTCTGCCCATCACGGGTATCGAAACCCGGATTTTAGCGTTGTAAGTCCGAAGACATACCGCTGTGCCACTGGGGGGCTATTTGGTGGGTATCGCGTGTTGTAGAATAGGTTTAACTGATTTATGTTTAACCTCGCAGTCACTGAGACGCCCCGCACGGCCATCAGATTCATTCAGAACTCTACCTACCTAACCTTATACGTGAGTAGTTTAGGCAGGTCACTTAACTGTTCCCCCCCCCCCAGTGGCACAGCGGTATGTCTGCGGACATACAACGTCAGAATCCGGGTTTCGATACCCGTGGTGGGCAGATCACAGATAGCCCATTGTGTAGCTTTGTACTTAATTACAAACAAACAAAGTTAACTGTTTTAATTATTTTAAATTCACAGCACTGCCTTTACATTTTATGAAGTTTGCTCATTCAAATACAAAATACCACAACAACAAAAACATTTCCATAGTTTCTAAATAAAGAATTATGGGATTTTTACACAACCTAGCGTGAATTTTAGTAGTGTTTTCATTCTTGTTTGTTTGTTTATGAATTTCGCGCAAAGCTACACGAGGGTTATCTGCGCTAGCCCTCCCTAATTTAGCAGTTAAACTGTAAGACTAGAGGGGAAGGCAGCTAGTCATCACCGCCAACTCTTGGGCTACTCTTTTACCAACGAATAGTTGGATTGACCGTCACTTTATAACGCCCCCACGGCTGAAAGGGCGAGCATGTTTGGCGGGATGGGGGATTCGAACCCGCGACCCTCAGAATGCGAGTCGAGCGCCCTAACCACCTGGCCATGCTGGGCCGCATTCTTATTATTTGAAGGAAGTGACACTAGTACGTAGAGAACATTTATCAAGTTTACAATAAAATGGAAGACATGGCACGATTCAACTCTTGTAACTGTGACAAAGTCTCTATTTCATATAAACTATTGACGTTAAATATACAAAAATTAATCCTCGATTTTCTCTCTTCTTCGAACTTCAAATATATATGAAAGTTAAATGCATTTGTTTTGTTAGATTTTTGCGCATAGCTTCCCCAGAGCTATGTGCGTTAGCTGTCCCTAATTTTGAACTAAATAGACTAGAGTGAAGGGAGAGATTCAACAACGCCCACCACCAACTTGTGGGCTAACTACTCTGATACAAGAGTGATATTTCACCTGGTTTTATTATAAGTTGAGCCCCACAGAGATACACTTCCTCCGGTGGGTCTGCAGTAAGCTTTAGGACTTATAGCGCTAAATTTCTGGGTTCGATCCCTGTGGTTGGCACAGTACAGATAAACATTGAGAAGTGTTACACTTAACAACAAGTTATGTGCTGTGGTCATACTTGATTTAATTACTAATAACGAAGGAATGATAAAGAACATCATATGTATATTAAATATATATATATATATAAAAGTTCCTTACCTCCTCTAGACAGCAAACAAAGAAGAGACTAAGAATAATAGATCTTCTTCTCATCTTTTGCTGGACTTGGAGTGTTGGTTGAATTTCTGGAACGGTTGTAGATCTCGAGTTTTATGTCAACCAGTAGTAGAAACTGCTTGTTCTCCGGAGAGTTGGTGGAGAAATGCGCCCAGAAAATCTCTCCTGTTGCTTCAGTTACGTCCTTTCGGAGAATCAGTCTTCGTCGAAACGCCGGACACAAGTTCATATTAACACTAACCGGTATATATATATATATATATACACACACATCGGGTGAAATCGATTCGGTTAGTGAAACGATTGGTCGGCAGAGCTTCGCGTATGCCCCCCCCCCCAACTCACACACTATAAATGTCGCTTTCCTCACAAGAAATGAGTTTTGAGTTTTCCAGAAAAGCTGTGATCGACCAGCTTTTGAAACTTTCCACCGAGAAAATGAAGAAACTTACTGAGTTTATCTGGTTTGATATCAAAATTGATAAGTATCTTTACACCACGCAAGCAGTGTTGAATTCAAATGGTTTCTATATCCACAGTAGGTAGAACAAAGAAAGTGTAGCTTCGTGCTTAACAACAAACAAACAAATTTACGATTTAAACGCCAAATGTCAGCGAAATAGTAGAAAACCAATAGGCTTAAAAATTGTTATAAAACAAATTAACTAGGTCTAGAAATTAAGGCTTAGATTATGCAGTCAAACTAGGTGTTCTGTGAAAGGAATGTGGAAGTAAAAAGTGTCTTCAAAATCAAGATTTCAAAATTTTAATCTTGACGCTAATGTCTCTTCCAATGGGTTGAAGTTTTGGAGGTTCAAAGAGAGTGGTAAATTATTTTCCATATTAAAAACAATAACATATTTAATCAGCCACAAACTAAGTTATATTAAAAACGGGTCTGACATGGCCTTGTAGTAAGGGCGTTATACTCGCAATCTTTGGCTCGCGGGTTCTTATCCCTTCACCGAACATGCTCGCTCTTTCAGCCGTGAGGACGTTATAATGTGATTGTCAACCCCATGTTTCGTTGGTAAAGAGTAACCCAAGAGTTGGTGGTGTTGGCTAGCTGCCTTCTCTTTAATCTATCACTTCTAAATTAGATATCGTTCAGTTTGAAAATGCCAAATCGAATTCAAATATATTTACTGACACATTTTATCTAATATCTCCCATGTAGTATACAAATGGTTATTTCCTTCTGTGAATTACCAGTACTGTTCCCCCTGTAATGCTGCTTCTGTGCGATCGGGCTTCTTGGTATAACAACTATACCACTCTTATTGTACAGTTTTACATTAACCCGTTAGTGTTTTTAGAGGTCAACAACTTCAAAGTGCACGCTTAAATAGACCATTAATACAAAATTCCATTGAAACTGTATGTTTTCGAACAGGTTTGCTATAATTCCAATTTCTTCAGCTGATTTCTCATTAAAATAGCCATTAATTTGAAGTATGGCTAGAAGTTTCTGAACTTTTAGCTCGCGTTTATTACCACGTTAACGATACCAAGAGATATGCTCAGCCTCATACCCAAAGTTTTTTTTGGTCGGAGGGTTCTCTTTCGTAGCTATATAGCCTGTGCTTTGTGTTTATTTCTTTTGTTTATTCGCTAGTACACACAATGAGTTTCTCGCGCTTTGTTCACCTCGGGGAATCGAACCCCGTCATTCAACGTTGTGTGTCCTCAAATTTACCGCCGACCCACCAGGGGGCTTTATTTGTGGATGAGGGATTGATCCTTGATTGGCTTGGGATATGGTTTCAGAGTCCGTTTCTATCCTAAATACTCTACTATAGGTGTAAGACATTGAGGACTCCCTCTACAGGAGATTTGTGTCATTTGGCTCTATATCGTTTCGTAATCTATCTGTATGAATATTTCCCTTCTGAAAGAGATTTCTCATGCCTCTCAAGCCGTTATTCAGGTTTTAAAGAACATTTTACAAGCCTAAGCAACACGGTTCGTTTTTATATGCGGACCACATGCCTGCCTATCACGTGGGTGTATTTCTAGGATCATCACGATGTTCGTAGGGAAATGGTCGCCAATTTACATGCGTTTTCATAGTCTGCAAATGACACTCTTTTAAAGTTTACAAAACACTCAATCCATAGATAGTAATCTTGTCTTGCAGTCAGGGCCTGAACAACTCGGAAATCTTCTACTAAACACTTCGAAAAGACAACCTTTCAAGTACTAAGTCATTAGGCGTTTTGACTGACACATATTTAATAGAATTAGTCAAGCGGACAACTCCAGTAACAAAGACTTCGAATTTAGTGTCGCTAGCAATGACAGTTTTGATTTCACGAGCAGCGGACATATATTAACGATACACGATGAACAGTATGCATTCTCGTCCCTAATTCTCTTATGGAGAATGTAATTTACTAGAGTTCTACCAGTTACTATACTGGATTTTCATTACTTCAGCGTTAACGCTATAATTATTTTTACGAAACATTTAGAGACAACCGTCAGTTAAAAAGAACAAATCCCAACTGTTGGAAAGAACTAAACTAATTTACACATAATGAAATCAAAACGGCCTGCCTCTTGTCCTGCTAGAGACAGACAGTCTCTTTACAGTATCTATTAATTATGTTTTTATTTGTCCATTTAAAGTTTTAGTATCCAAAACAATTAAACAACAACGTATAAACTTATTATTAATATTTTTAGCTGGAAAACTTTTCTAATAGTTTCTTTTCTTTTGTTATTGTTTTTAAGCACAAAACTACACAATGGGCTATCTCTGCTCTGCCCAACGCGGGTATTAAAACCCGATATGTAGCGGTAAAAGCTCTCCGACTTACCACTGAACAACCAGGAGGCAGTAGGTACTTAAAGGATTGTTTGTTTGTTTGAAGTTAAGCACAAAGCTACACAATGAGCTATCTCTGCTGTGCCCAGCACGAGTATCAAAACCCGATTTTAGCGTTATAAATCTTCCCTGAGCCATTGGAGGGCTAAAAAGGTTTGGTTTGATTGTCGCTAAGTGCAAAGTTACACAATAGGCTATTTGCAATCTGCCCATCACGGGTATTGAAACCCGATTTGTAGAGTTATAAGCCGTAATAAATAAAAAAAGAAACTTATCTCATACTATAGATTTTTTTAAGTAGTTCGACTGATTGGACGTTCAAAAAAAATATTAAGGTCTACGATTATTACTTGAGAAGCTTTTGCTTGAACACGAAACAATCGAGTATGTTAACGTTCTTGAAGTACATCGATAAATGTTTTTGTTAGTTTTTCCATTAGATCAGTTTCGAAGTACTTTAGTGTGGTTAATGAACTAAAGTTTTACTCACAGTGTAACAAGTTTATTGGAAATTACCTATATTAAACTTTTATACAAAAAAGTTGTTAAATAAAAATCTTTAAAAATTACTTTTAACTTTTTAGTGTGTTTTTTCTAGCTAACATTATAATATACTGTATATATATATATATATCCCAAAATAAAATATGTTAGAAAAGTCTCCCCTATATTACATACCTTCCCTGTTTTAAAAAACTAATTCTGAAGGAGAGATTTAATTATTTTAAGATACTTAACTCTGAAGATGTCCAACTATTTATCTCCGAGAGAGAGAGAGATTAAGATACCTAACTCTGAAGGAGATACTTAACTATCTATCACCGAAAGAAAGAATCAACTATTTTAATATACCTAATATGTCTAACTATGATTTTACCTCTAGGTATCGTTAACTTCTAAATAAGTCGGTGTTCCGAAACCACATCAAAATAATAATAATACTGTCGTGAAACCAATATTAAAAACACGCAAATGTTGATCTTAGTGAGCCATAAAAACGCTAACACGTCTGTGATTCAATCTACTTCGCATTTATCTCGCTAGTCAATAATAAAATTCCACCGCGATTCGAAGTTTAACGTATTAATAAATTTTCTTTTCCATCGTTGCCTTAATACTAAGCCTAAGCTAATATGACTGAAAGTGATATGCAGTCTAATTTAAGAGTGGAGAAAATGCGTACCTTCATACTTTAGTTTTTTAATAAGTCCTACCTTTAAAGGTATTTGGAATGTACATCACTTACATCGTGACACAAAGTTCTTGTAAAGTTAATACATCCCAACCACTTATTGTAACAAAAGAAAACTGAAATTAGCGAACACAAGCAGGCCTTAGAAATAAAATGCTGGTGTGAGTCTTTTGCACCAACTTATACTCCTTTTTTTTTCGAATCAGAAAAAAAAATTAGCATTACGCTTTACAAAATAAAAATATATTTACAGTGAACGGGAACTATTATAAATACATGCTTGTAAGTGTTGTTTTCCTTAGAAGTTATGTTCAGTCATAAAAACTAAAACTAAACTGAGCTTATAATTTCTATTTGGCAGCTAAATGATGCGTCTTTGGAAGTTTAAAGCAAACACAGACAATTTTTTTTTCTCACATCAAACCCGTGATTTGTTAAACAAACAGACAAATCAAGTTGAGATACATTTAATGCCGTCACCGAGGAACTGGAATTTTAAACCCGAGTAGCATCATATAATTTAACGCACGAGCGCTGAATGATCAGGACAAAGGCGTCTTTAGGTGTAACCGTCCCTAATTTTGAGCTATTGACAAGAGGGAAGGCAAGCAGCCAGTAGTATCCGCCAACCGTCACAAAGACTTTGTCTGGCTCTTTCAATAACGATATTAATAGTCACGTGTATAGCGCGCCCACAGCTTAAAGTGAAAACTGCATTTACAGCACCACGTTTCTAGCACCGTACCCTGCGATACGCAGCCCGACACGCTAACCAATATGTCACACATTGTCCTTGACCCTGAGAATAAGTGTATAAATTGCTGCAAAAAATTGTTATTCGTGGTCGTGTATTAAATATTCTTAATGAATGTATAATATATCATATTGTAACTCATTGTGTAGCTTTGTGCTTAGCAATAAACAACCAAATTTATATGATTGTAAACTAGCTGGAGTACCCGTCCCCTGGACGTTAGTTATGTAAATTCATGATTAATGAAAGATTATCTCAGGACATAAGATATATGTAATAGAAAAAGAAACGCAAAAATGCCCATAAAATCTGCAAAACACAAAATGTGAAACCGTAAATTTGCATGTATCTTCACATGGACCCATCGTGTAGCTTTACGCGATCTTAAAACAACAAACAAAATTCAACTATTTTTACCTCATTCTAATTTGTCATT